GCATAACTACTGGCTACCTAGCCCCGTACCGTATTCTTGTTTGGGTGTGGTCACACCACGCACATCTCGTGTGACACACGCCCCTGTTATTAGGGTTCGTGTAAACCCGTTACAAAAGCCTCTTCAATCAAGTACACACGGAACTTGACCAAAGCATACTTCATTGCTAAAAGCGCTTTGTCACGAACTAGATAATTTCGTTTTTTGGGCCGGAGTTGTCGCAACTGATACGGTACAACTCGCTCTCAACCCTCATCATCGTGTTGCATCAATGCACAACTGATTACATAATCAGTTGCATCGCAGACCACATGAAAGGGATCAAAGTGGTTTGTAATCGTAAGGACAGGAGATTCTCATAATCTCTTTTTTTCATCGGCAATTAGCTTCTTGTGATCCTTTGACCATCCCCACTTAACGTTCATATTTAGATAGTCGTTAGGGTTGCACCAACACTGTATAATTGCGCGTGTATTTGTGTTAATAGTTAACCAAGCCCCACTATTGTTTACTTATTTTCTTTTGTTTGGCAGGCCAATCATTTGAAGCTTTGTTTTTTTATCTACACGAACGCCATTATTGCACACAGAGCAAATTAGAACAAGGATATTTGGTGCAAAAGATGCACTTTATAGGTTGGTGTGGCGTTTTTTCTCTCGCATAACTTGGAAGACTTGACGAAGATGATCAAGACAAATATCGACTTCAGACTTCTTTCTCATCTGTTTTCTAACCATTTACATATATATCATCAAAGTAACTCGATGCAAGCTCTCTAAGTGGATAAAGAAGATTCGTGATCGTTCAATCGAAAGTCGCGGGAGCGCTCTTCAAACCTTGTTGCATTTCTAATTATTCCCACAGCTTACCACTGGGGGTACTGACTGTATCATTTTCGCGCATTCTTATTTGATAATAAATCTTTGAAATTGATAGCACTGAAAACAGTACTGCCAACCAATCCATCAAAAATAATATTCCTGCGTGAAATGGAGTCTGAACAGATATGGATGTGCATTTATTTTGTCGAACCAGTGAACAATGCGCAACCTCCCGTCGCTTTCATAACACAGGAGAAAGGACTTCAGTGCGAAAACTTGATCTCACGCACATGACTAGCCTTCTGTCGCTGCTCAAAGAACTTTTAAATTACACAGACTTTTTCTTTTGGCGACGCCACTGCCGTTTGATACAATACTTTGTACCAGGAGCTACGTCAATTTCATGACGAATGCCTTTGTCAGATGGCAATTCGCCCGATACCTTGTAAGGAAAGGTATCAGCATATTCATTGGCAGATTCATTCAAAAGGTTTGTCCTTAGAGCGTAACACGACTGCTCATCAAACATTTCCGTCCGTGTCTTCTCATCAAGTACTTCTGCTGTATTGATGTCTTCGTCGATAGATTTTTCGACGATTGCACATATTTGCAAAAGTTTTCCTTTCGCCAGGCTACGCTTCAGCATCTTCTTGCTCATCAACGGCAAAAAAACCAATTTAAATGATTTTTCATCATCACGTGACGGATAACATTGACGTCTCAAGTTTAAAGGTATTTCTTTGAGAATTTAACCTAGCTCAAAATAGTTATAAGGATATTTCTCCTTCTCTGTTGTAGGCCACAACATTCACGAACTCGCTCGAAGTGTCTTATTCTTAAATTCTTCCTTTATCAAGACAGCTTGTACCCTGATCAACGGCTTACAAAATGCTTGACGGAATACTAATCTTGGGAGCCTTCTTTTTTCTTTTGGAACGGTTTATGTCTCTAGTCCCATTATTCTTCATCAATGTCGATGGCAAAGAAGACATAATGTTTTTGGCGCTTGACTGCGTCATGTTTCATTAATGTCATTACTTTCGTCTTTTTGAATTTGCCATTTGAACGTGGGGGCCATCGCGCACCACAATATCATTTAGGACGTCTGTAACTTCTTTAACAGTTACAGACGCCATACCACTTCGTCCGTCAGCTAGAGTTAGCGCACCACCTGGTAACAACAATCTTTATATTTGTTCAGTCAATGCTAGGCCAATAACGCTTCAACCATGGTATACCTCGGATGATATCGAACTTGTGATTGATGACAAGAAAGATATGCACGCCTTCACCTTGGAAATCGTCAAGCTTCGTTGCCAAGCAAATGATTGGTTTGGCATCGTCATTGTGGATATGCTCGCTTGACGAATGATCATTTCTCGTTTCACATTGGACAGGCTAAACACCATTCTCAGTTGTAACTTGCGCTCAAACAATTTTTTTCGACAAACCAGTGCCAGCAAAGCTCGTTGTGGTCTCTCATAACCATCTGCAAAGACTTTTGGATCAAAAAGGTGCGCTTTGCCTGGCACTAGTATCTCTCAAAGTGGAATTGCATATGCATCAGGCACGTTCGAATCAGAGTTCTGTGTATCCACAGCTTCTACAGTTCTCTTTTCGGGTCCAGACGGGAGGAAGCCTCGCTCCTTCTGGTCGTTTCCGTTTTTTACCCTTGGGAGCGTCTGACCCGACGACTTTTATAACGTTCGTGGTCATACCCTGTGTTTGTTACCGACTCGGAACAGACACTCAGCAGTTGCGAGTAAAATGGCCCAGTTACCCACACCGGAAACACTTTTCATCGTTGCGAGGACGATCACTTCTAGGCGTGGCATGTACGACAAGTCTATTGTCTCTGGACCATCACCTGTAGCAGTCGACTGACGCGTTTGTCTTGGAACGACGCCAGCAAACTTGCCTTGCTTTTTTCTTGCATCGCACGGTTAATGGCGTCGTTAAGCGCCTTAAAGTACTCACGGAGCAGCGTCGTCCAGTACCTTTAGATACTCATAGAGCTATTGATTTCGTATCAATCTATCATAACTTAAACCCGCATAGAGCTATTGATTTCGTATCAATCTATCATAACTTATACCCAACCTGTGTGAAAACGTCAACTGGCTCGTCAACAATGCTTGGTACCGAGTAGCAAGCACGATGTGCACACGACTGTAGGTCGTTACGAACTTGAAATGCTTCAAGAACAGTGCACACGACTGTAGGTCGTTACGAACTTGAAAAGCTTCAAGAACTTGGCAAGGGTACTGAACTTACTTTGTTGTGGTTTAAACGCTCTCGTTAGCTCGACTGTGAAGTGTTCGTAGCCGAAAAACAGTTTCGATCCGTTAAACGCTTACTATACGCCCAAAACTTTGCATGACCCGCAAAGTTAATCATTGAGAATAACACTTGCTGCAAGGGGTCTCAGTTGTCTTGCAGTGATTGCTGCATCCACTCTGACAAGCTTTCGTAAGAGATGCTCGTTCTCTCCACGCTAGTACAAAGACACGTTCGGTTTCAGAGGCATCATTATGTATGAAGAAACAGGGATTGCGACCTGCTTTCATGATTCCATAATCTCATGTTGCATGAAACTGACGGTTGCGTTCTTCTAGTCATCCGGCGAAGACGACTGCAGTAAGCTGACCGCTGCAGGTTCACCGATGACTTCTCGCATCCGCACGAGTGTCGTCCACTCATGTTAAGACAAATGAGGAAACATCTCATTCGCCAACACCTCAGTTTGCATTTTTGATGGACTGAGTGACTAAGCGTTACCCAACTCCTTCCATGTCACTCGGACAAGGACAAGAGTATGGTTTGGACTGGAATGCGCGACGTGCTCAGTAGCCGCGTCGTCAAACCAAAATTGAGTGTCGTTGGAAAGACCGCTCAAATTGCTACCAGGTGTAAGGAAGTGCTGTTCACAATCAGTTGCTCAAACACAACACACACGCTTGTGCGACAAGAAAGCGATTTCCGACGTAGAGAGATAAGAACAGCTCCAATTTGGAGGGATTTAATACCTTAAAGGAAAATTTGCAGCAAAATCCAAAATGAGTTTTGGTTCCTAGCTACTTGCAAAATACCCCAACGGTTCCAAGCGATTTTACTGGTAAGACATTGGGTTCCTGCTTTATAACTCAAGGGTGTACTGAGGTTGAACCTCAGCTTCAACTAATAAGAGATCATGGGTGTAAGGAGCTTGAATTTCGAAAAATTGAACTTCAACTTTCTTATAAGATTCGAGTAGAAGGAACTGGCTTACGTCACCGCTTCGAAAGCTTGATTTTCAAATTTTGTGGAAAGTATCCTGTAGAATTGACCGGCTTACGCCACCCACTTCTAGAGACAGATACACGTCGGTCTCGTCACTAGTACATGTCCTCAAGTAGGAAGTAGCATTTTGTCTCACACAGAACGGTTGTGACTTTATAAAAGAAATCACGTATGTTTTTTGGGAGCACCATACCGTAATCTTCGTTAATTAATTCCCACAATACATACAGAAGGTACTTCAATGTACCTTTATGAAATGGCTAAGTGTAGCCCATTACAAAATGTTTCTGTCTCCGTAAAGGATGACACATATAATTCCCATAATGCAGACAAAAGGTACCTTCATGTAATGGCTAAGCGTGGCCCATTACATAAGGCAAACGTAAACCATGTACCTTACAAACCCCCCTTTATCTGAATCACACTGACAATTACACTTCTGTCACTTCATGACATCGTACACCCTCCCGTTTGTACTTTCACTCCGATCATTTGCACCTAACAGCTCCTATTCCTAATATTATACTCGGATCAGGAGTCCTCTCCTTTACATATCGCTGAATGGCTTGTAGAGCCTGCAAGAAAGACGCGATCTTTTGTGGTCAATGGCCATAAAACCGTTTTTGATCAGGTGAGCAAGGTGTATGAGATGAAAAGGTCAAGCGTTTTTGCGAACTTGTCCTGCCATTTCCGCTCGCAGAGAGACACGGATGGAGAGCTCAGTAAGAATGCGGAGTTTTCAATGCTCCACTACGTTACTGCACTAATTACCCACTCAATTCATTCTCTTCTGATCCAATAGGTTGGACTTGACCCATGAAACCCATGTTGCCCGTCTGCAAGCGCAAAAGTTGCAGCGACTATCGCGTACTTATAGAGACGTCGGGATCATTGATTACAATGATCTGGTGTTGCTCGTCGCGCCAGGGTGGAGCTCTTTCACGCCTATGCGCTGCGGTGTCCACTCCAACAGAGAGCTAAAACGACGCCGAAAAATCTTTGAAGAGCGCACTTTGACCCCTCAGGTCGCCATTCCTTAGGTGCTATCTGCGCTTGTCGCAAAAGTTGAGGTGAACGCGTACCTCCATGAGATCAGCAGCTTTGGCCTTGAATGTTGCGAAAGTAACAAAAAATATCGCACTCAATTCGCGCATCGGGTGGGGAACGCTCATTAGCTCAACTTTTCGGCAGCTTTACAAACCAGCTCCAGTAAAGTAGAGATCCGACTATCGCGTCATTAAATGCTTGGATCGCAAAGATTCAGGCCATTGTGGATGTCGAGGTGGAAACACATCACATAAAAGTCTTGCTGCTAACAGCCCAGCTCATCGCCATGACGCAGCTACTTCAAGTCTCAAAATCAGAATGCAATGGAACACACGCGATGCCTGGTGATCTTGCTTCGTTTTCAGGGGGGAAAATGGCCGAGAGTGCGCCGAGGCTTAACCGGCAACGGCGCTAGATCAACCCCGCTGAGATAGGGCCTTAAATTCAATCACTTTTAAATATCACTTCCGCTTCACATGAATCGGTAGCCACACTATTGTTCCTACTGCCTCACTTTCCATTCCTTGTTGAGTGGACAACCCGTCGCACAACGAGCAGTACTGGCGAACAATGTTCTCATCCGGCTGGCTTCGTTTTCTCTCTCATTTATGGCGGCAAGTCGACTCTCTCGGCGTGCTAACGCTTCTAACATTGGGGTAGTTCCCAAATGCTCTGTTTAAGCTATGTCATCGAACTAGTGGGTTTGTTATACCCATGGCGGCTCAGCACCGTATTGCTGCCCTACAGCAGTGACAAGATCAGCTACAGGGGAGGATAATGACACTGCTCTCGCTATACTTAGCGTTTCGTATACATCTAGCTCGTGTGATCGGAATCAAGGTAGGACTTCTTCAAAACCCACTCAGATCTGGATGTGTTTCGCAATATCTTCGAGTCTCTTATCGTGAAGATCAATCCCTTTTTCGCTACGATAGTGACCATCCGACGTCGCGCGGTCGCAGCTAAGCCAATTAATTTCAAATATGCAGGTAATTATAGTTGCATTCAAGAACTTTTGCCCCACATTACATTCGTGTGTAACACGCCCTCCTCTGGCATCGGCGTGTCACTATTACTCATTCTGTATCTCAGCCGAAGTGACGCGCACCTTTCGCACGACGCTAAATCTCTTTGGGATAAAATGTTGATTTCGCTGTTAAGCGTAGCCGAGAAGATATTAGTCAGTAAATGTGATCAGCGCTATAGCCGGAATAAATGCATCAAATGCACCGAGGAGATTACAAAACCATTTACTAAAAGTAGCATAAGCTTGAAGTGGACGTACTGCTTATTTAGCGCAAACCTATCGAGTGGATGCAGCTCAGCCCAGCA